GTATGGCACAGGTGTGCCTTAGGCACATCGAAACCCAGACAATGATATAGTGGCCCCAACGCACCAATGTGGGGAGTGCATGTGATTAAAATTTCAGCTTTTTTTTTGTTTTGACTAGCAATTTACTGCCATTGTGTTGACCATAAGGGTTCCATAGGGCTACTGGCTTTAGACAAGGTATTTGTAACTCCAGAGCAAGGCTGTTATCTATTATCTAAATTGATCTTTCTAACAAGGTCTGTCTATGTAGCTGAAAGTCTGATATGCGTCTCGTCTATAGAATTATTTTATTGGCCATTAAATATTAAAAACACATTACACAATGTAGGGTTTTGTCCGAGCATGCTCAGCGATGTCAACCTCTCAACAGATCTCTTGCTGCACAGATGCAGTCGTGAATGGCCAAGCTTTATCCTGTAAGTAATGGTTTTTAGGTGAAAACTGAATAAATTGCCTCCCGGAGGAGAAAGCCCCCCTCTTTCTCTTGTAACATTCATACAAGAGAACGAGTTAAAATTATCAAAAAGATGGAAGTTGAACTAAAGTTATGCCTCTAATCCTTCCAAAATGACGGTTTAAAGTTTGAATTAAAGTACAGTACATCTCTTTTGCTTGTTCCTTCCACTCCTAGTTGAAAACCAATGATTCACCCCCTGCCATCCTCCCCTCCCTCTATCACTTCCTTCCTCCCCTGACGCGATGATTGCCAGGGCCGAGCGGGGAATACGACGAGCGAGTGAGGCAGCAGAGAAGAAACACAGCAGCAACGTATTCATTACTCACTGCTGAGGAGGCTGATAATTAAGAGGAAGAGGGGAAGGAGAAGAGGAGGAATGATGGAGGGTGGAGAGGAGGAATATAAGAAAATGAGGGGATGTGGGACAGGGAAAAGGAAATGGAGAAAAAAAAGAGAAGGGTTTGAAATGAGGGAAGGCAAGTTGAGTCATTTCATAACCTCGGGATACATAGGCCGACATGGAGATTGGTCTCTATGCATTCTGAATCAGCAGATGGGGAGCATAATTTGACGGCAGCATGTGAGGCAGAAAGAGATTTACTACAGAGAGAATGAGAAGGAGAGGGAAGAGAGAGTCAGAAGGTTGAATACAGAGAGGAAACCCTGTGGATACAAGTCAGTTTGAACCCTTGAAAGGAAACTTTCATGTCATTGTTGTGGATGTTTTGATGATTTTGAATGTTAACGGTATTTGTAGAGACAGATATGTACAACTACACCCAGCACTGGTCGTTAAAATGTCCATTTTCTGCTCACATTTAAGTTCAAACGAGAGAGGGTCTCATAGTCACGACAGTTGCAGAGGGAAAATGTGTTTTTCTTGTGGAATAGTGTCCAATGCTTGCATTCAATACTTATCAAATTTAAAGAGAGGCTAATATGATGTTTCAGAAGTCTATGTTAGCCTAATCAATTCAGGATTTCCCAAACTTACAATTTTATGACTGAATTTTTTCTGTTTGCCGCATTTTCCCTTATGTGGTAGTGGCTACTTAGTTCAGCTACAGGAAATGTGTGAGGTTAGACTGCTGACACGTCATATTAGCTTCACCAAACGTTTAGAATGTGTTTTTCTGCAGATTTTGCCTATTTTTCACAATGTAGTCGCACTAGAACGGAATCACTTTATGGTCAGTATGAAGAGGAATGGTCACAGCAACCAGTGACTCTTTCAGTGTACATATAGTGTGAGAGTGTTGCATTATCATAGACTTCAAAAAATCAAAATCTATCCTTTAATAGTTGTTCTTAAATTCAGGATATTTGCCAGAGCAGACCAGCAATGACAGCTTATTGTACCACCTTCCACAGGCCTAGGAACAGTGCATGTGTAAATAAGTGAATGAATGGTGGCTAGATTCCATTTAGTTGGGTCCTCATATTGTTCATGCTGGTTCACTGTCACACTGCCATGACTTCCTGGGACACTTGAATAGAACCGATCCCTTTTTAATGTTATTAGTAACACCTGTGCTTTCCCTGCTGTAACAAGTCAAAATATGTGCTGTGATATTGTGTCCTTGCAGTGGGCTAGCTCGTTCAGTTTCCCAACCAGAGTAAATGTAAAAGTATGCTAATGGTACTATTCATTACTGTTCAGTGTTACGGCCTGGTATCTTCCAACACCACTACACTGACACTGTACAGGTCCACACACTATGATTAACTTAATCACCAAATAGTTTGATAATTGATTAATTGTTTTTAGTAATTTTTAAAAAGAAATGTCCAAATGATTATATTAAAATTAAATAAATTTCAGCTTCTCAAATGAAAATATTTTCTGGTTTCTTTAGTCCACTATGACAGTAAACTGAATATTTTTGGACATTTGAGGATGTCATAGTGGGCTTTGGGAAACCGAGATCAACATTTTTCATAATTTTCTGACATTTTATTGACCAAATTACTAATTAATGATTAATTAATTGAAAAAATGATCCTCAGATTAATCGAAAATGAACTTACAGGGACGCAAGGGTGTACTAAAAACACCTATATCAGTGCAGTGTGGTGGTGGTGGGAGACAAGTCAGTGTATGTATATTAATTGCAGTAATTGTGTTCTTTCACATAAAATAATTCTTGTTTTATTTTTTAGGGGCCTGTTGCTTTGAAGAAAGGATTTTTCTCCAAGAAAATGCAATTTTATTTGTATTATTTAATTTAACTTTCAAATTGAAATTTTGTTTGAGTAAATATAAATGTGTTTTTATTTTAATTTAACAAACTGCTTCATTGGCAGCCCAAAAATACAATGTACAAGACGGCTTTCTTTTTTTGAATTTCTGTTTGTGTTTGTTGTTCTGTCTCCGTCCAATAGATGCTTTCTCATTCAACACTTCATAGTACCAAGAATTATGTTTGGTGAATATTAAATTAATATTATCAGCTTTCATTTTTTTTTCTTTTTTTAAATACATATTTGTGGCTTGCATGATTGTCTTATGTTGAAAGCTTTAATTTCAGGTTTCGACCACTGCAACTGGCAATATCAAAACGTTGTAATGACCCATTGTGATTGATGTTTTAATTTAATACTTTATGTAATTTAGGACAAATGTCCAGATTAGTATGCGTTATTAAAATTGCAGTGGTGGAAGAAGTCATCAGAATGACCTGTTTAGTAAAAGTAGCAACACCACAGTATAAAAATACCCCAAGCTTTCATATGTTTACCCAAATAAAAAGGTCATAAGCATTCAGCCCAATGTACGCATCAAAATGACCAGTACTCATTATGGAGAATTAATATATTTTTGGGTTTTTATTACTGATGCATTAAGAGTTAAGCAGCATTTTAATAGTGTAACTGTGAATTTAAACTTTAACTGTGGTGTCCAATAGTCAGATGATTGATACCAGTAGTGTCTGAGATCAGTGGTTCCCAACCTCCTGTATCCCCCACAGTCCCTTCAGAAGAACTCAAGTTCATCAGCACCACTAGTCATGTTCTGTGTTCATTTGGATTGATTTGAAACTGGATGTTATTTAACACGATTGACTATAAAAGTGAATATTATTAGAATATTCTTTGCATACAGCTAAACATTCAGTATTTTGGTTTGCTTAACTTTTTGTTTGTACTGCTTGTGACACATGTCATGTTTCAACCATTTATCCATTTTTAGATGATTTTTTAAAATCATTTATACATTTTCTTTAGCTAACTTTTGACATTTATTTTAGCTATTTCAGCTATCTGTCCCTTCTCTGCTGACTTACTAACTAGTTTTCATAACTCAATATGTTGGTATATATGTTTTTAATGAAATTCTAATTTTAATCTTTTTTAAATTAGTGGTGTTACTCACATACTCCTGGCAACTGCAGAAGTATCCACTGGAGTACATGTACCCCTGGTTTTGGAAATCTTAGATGATCTTAATCTATATTTTGTATGTCAAATCTTTATTTGCAAAATAACCAGTAACCACAGCTGTCAAATAATTGAAGTGGAGTGAAGTGAGTGCAGTACAATATTTCCTTCTGAAAAACAGTGGAGTATAAAGTGGCAGAAAATGAATATACTCAGGTAAAATACAAGTACCTCTAACATATACATAAGTACAGTCCCTGTGAAAATATACTGTTATTTTCCAACAATTGTTTCTTTGAGAGGGGCATTCTCCATTCAGATGTGGCAACCCATCTCAAACCTCTGACATTTTGCGGTGTGCAGACTCTTCTCCAGCAGAACAGCAGGTGGCGCCTGTTTGACGTGCTATCATTTGTCCCGCTTGAACTGGGCCTAGCCAACTGAACGATCTGGGAGACGGCATTAGAAATCCACCAGGGCTGCACATACGCTTTTACAAACACAATAACCAAGTGCATTGCCAAGATTGATTCCAGCTGTAGTTGCATGAGCGGGGGGAGCCCTCGGGTGTCAGACTGTGGACAGGCGTGGCAGTGGGCTGGTCCAGACGCACTGAGCGATGAAAAACCTCGGGGTCCTTTGACTTGGTATCAGCTGAGGCCCTGAACTAGTCTGACAAAGGAACCCTGGTGTCGGAAGCAGGCACTGACAGATCTGCTGTAATTACCCACATCTGCTCGCTCTGAGGACGGCTGTGGGTTGTGGGTGTGCCGCACCCACACGGAACACACGCTCCTGAGGATGCACTGAGGTGAGTACGCTGCCTGCTGTGATATTGTGTTTAGTTGAGTCGAACAAGGCTATCATGGGGAAATGGCTGGGCGTAGTACAGAGTCCTCCCTGACGCGTGCATGAGCGGTGTGTGCGCATTTCACTGATGTCTCACGGTCCCGTCCTCACTGCCTGATGTTGACCATTTTGTTCTGTGTCATTCGGCGCATATAGCGCATGCACTGTAGTGTGTGCTTGTATAAAATGAGTAGAGTTGCACCCTGTCCATTATTGCTCATGCGTTGTCTCCATTGTGCTCTGCAGATAAAGGCTCGTGAACGCGTCCAAGGTCCCATATGTGCAGTCTGTGAGAGTGAGACAGAGAGTGAGACAGTGTGTGTGATGGCAGAGCCTTCTCGCTGGCTCTAATCCGGCTCATTAGCGTGCCAGTGATTGTTTTGGTTTTCACGGTGTCAGGATTAATATTCTGGAAATGAGCAGCTATTGATATGAAACGCGGTGCTTTTGATGCGCGTTTAGCTGGGGTCGTTACAGACTGCAGTCGCGCAGTGTTGAGCCGTCGCTGCCTCTGTCGCTGCCGCTGCTGGCCTCTGCATTGTGCGGGTGGCCATTAGCGGATCCTCCGCTCTGCTGGTGCTGAGGCTGCAGCGCGTGCGAGTGTTGCTAGGCAGCCGTGCAGAGCGCGGGCCGCGAGCGGGCTCAGGAGCGGAGGATGCTGAAAAGCCAATAAAAGAAGCCAATAAAAGCATACCGTGCTTTCACGTTGAAATACGGTGCTGCAGATACACACAACATGGTGCCCTGGCCCTCACGTGACTATCTGGTCAACAGGCCTGTCCTCCGTCCTTTGGGAGCGGGGGATGCAGATTGTCATCTCCCACAGCACAATGGCAGACACTGAACCTCGGAAGGATTCCTCTCAGCCACAGCAGTTAGAATCAGTGTCTATAGTAACTATATAATATGTCAGGTGTTGGATTACTGTATGGTGCCCTTCATAAATGAACCCTTTTATAAAATGATTTAATTATAGAAACTGAGACAGTATATTTGAAAATCATGTGATGTTGCTGTTTTCTTTAGTTGAAAACAACTTTAATATCCAGTTCGTAGTTACTGAAATATCAAACATGAGGGGCAAGTAAACACATTGTTATGATTAGGTGATATGTAACACTGACCAAAATACTATAGAAGGTCTGTTAATTAGGCTTACATGAGAGATATGTGTATATTTGCTGATTCCTGGAGTTCTTGCATCATCATTCTGCGTTTTCTGTCACCTAAGGAGTTATAAGCCAATAATATGTAGTGAAAAAGAAACCACTGTAATGGGAGTCCGTCACTTGCTGTGTTTTCAGCTGCTTTCCATTTGCTTCTTTCTGAAGTGTTTTGTATATTTTGATTTGTTCATTAACAGTTCGTGCAGCTTTCCAAGGTGAAAGACAAAGGTCCCATTAGAGGCTGTAGGGACTGGAATGTCCTCCTACACAAAGTCAACAAAATCTATCCTGCCTCTACATCATTTATGCTTTAATGCATTTTCATTTTGTGTATGCTGCATTTCTGCAAGCACTCAATCCACTAGATGTTTAGAGTTAATGAGTCTGTTCATTTTGGGGGTGGAATACAGCAAAGTTGCCCTATAATAATTTAGTTTAGCGTAGGCTATTCTTGTTTTGTCTTGTGTTAGGTGGAACTATTAGATTGAAAGTAAATAAAAATGCATTTTCTTGCCGTTATATTGTAGTTGCAATATATTTAGTGAGGAGGCTAACGTGACATTTAAACAAGTTTTACATTGCATTATAAAGAGTTGCTGGCTTGTAGAGGATGAATAGGTTTTAACTTGATCATAATTATTCTCCTATATCTTATTTTGAAAAACTGCTAGTAAATGTACCAGTTTATTAGTTACATAACTGGTTGGGATCCACTGTCCAGCCAGCATAAACCTGAAGCCAACGAAAATCAATCCAGAGCTACTTAGGTAATTATTCCCCTGTCTGCCTCTCTGCTGCTGGACGTCAGTGCTCAGACACAGAACTCCCGAAACCACTGAGTGGGTAGATTTACAGCAGTGAATACATGCATGTATATGTGAAGATAATGTGCACCAATATTAGAAAATTGCCTATTTATTTCACCTCTTTTTATTGGTTAGGCCAAAAATGTCATCTGGCAGCAGAGCAAAGCAGCATTACATTTGTTGATTGGTGTGTTCTGGTGAAGGATGCCACAGCGAATAATATTTGTCTAAGTATTAAACTATTTAAACAATGCTGAAATTCAGGTTTTGCAGTTTGGTAAGAACCCAGCTCTAGAAGAGGAGAGAACGACAAGAAATCAGCTCCCCTACTTCTTGAGATTTTATGAAACAAAAGGGAGGTGATGATGTATCGTGGTCAGCGATCACAGTGCGACTGAGGATAAGAGGAGGAGGCAGCGATGGTGGGCCAGCAGCCAGATCTCTGTCTCCTCTTAGTCATTAGGACCCTCCCCGGAGAGAGAGACTTTCTGTCTGCTGCCTGTCAGCAGCTGGGCCCTTGCTACCCCCAGAGAGAGTCATATACCCTGTGAGCCAACCTCTATTGTGAGAGCGAAAGAGAGCTGCTGCCTCCAATTTGGGCTTCTTATAGACTGACTGTTGCTTATAATTGTAAAATAACATCCACCTGAATACATTTGAATGTTCAAAGTCAGATATAAATATCTGTGAGTGCTTAAAACAAAAAACTGAGCATGCATTATTCAGTAGTAGTAGTTTTCCTCAACTGGAAAAAGCTAGCTATGATCTGGGGGCAGTTTGGCTGGCAAACGGCATGAAGCTTATATGTCAGTGTATGTTTAGGGACTTGAGGGACTTTAGTTAATCCATAAATGGCTGATGTTTTTGGATAGCTGATGTAATGTTTCTGTGCTTTAGAGCGCAGGAAGTCTGACGTTTTTAGGATAAAGTGCACCATTTATCCAGAAACTCCATTAAAGGTTTAGTCATCTGTCAGAGTTTCTCATTTGCAATGCAATGAGATTTAGTAATGCACAGGGATCTGGTGTCATTGGATTGAGCATCTTAAAAGCTTGCCCTGGACGCTGGAGACATGAGGGATTGGACTGACGTTGCATGTGATCAGGGATGCACAAATAGTTATGTTACAGTGATGCAACTAATTGTTAGTTAAGTAAGTACGTAATTGAGTCAGTTAGTAAGAGGTAGCAGGAGAGAGGGCGTGGTGTGTTTGGGACCTTATCTACTCCCTGCAGCACTGTTTGTGTGTGTGTGTGTGTGTGTAAGAGAGAGAGAGAGAGAGAGATGAGTATGTTTCATTTGGGAGTGGCCAGCTGTTTTCTGAAGATCCTTACGGTAACTCTTTACTCTTTCTCCAATTACCGAGCCGTATCGCCTGCTAACTTCCTGTTAGTGGTTCTGGTGCTGCTGTCTGCATGTGAGCTCTTACTGCTAATGCTGCATTTTCTATAGCTCTACGCTTCCACCGGCCAGTGCCTCGAGGAATACAACATCCTTAATGTGAGGGTAGGTTTTTCATCCTAATGCTGCCATTTGAAAATACAAAGAATTCAAGGATTAATGTGCAGTCCAATATTCTGTTTAGTGTTGTACTTGCCAACAGGAAACTCAGTTTTCATGTTAATGCAAGATGCAAAAGGATTTGCTTGGGGTTGAATTGTACGTAAGGGAGCATATTGATTGAACTGACAACTGTTATTTAATATCCAATCATCTTTGCTGGATCTCTTCATGGTTTTGAACTCCCTCTGGGTTGATATGCACCACCAGATCCTTAGTCAGGTTTTATGAGGACTCTCTAAAGCGTAGGCTCAGGAAGGTTGGAAGGAAGGAAGAACAATATTCTGCTCACTGCACTTCTCCCATTTGCACATTTAAGCTAAGATAATACTTTTTTTTTATCCTCACAGGATTATGACTGCTGCCTTAAGAGCATTTGGCTAGTATAATTTCATAGACTTGCTTTTTGTGAGGCTTTGATCTTTAAATCATATCAACACTGTCCCTGTTGTAGTGTGAATTCTCCTAATTTGCCCACTCTGTTAATTTCCTATTGGGTATCAACAGAAAGTGATTAATTGAAACATATTTTTAAAACATAAAACATAAAACTAAAAATCAAAAAACAAACAAATCCTGAGTCCATTATGGTAGTAATGGATGGGTGGGGTCCCACTCCAGGAAGTTAGTGGTCCTGGCCAAGAAATAGCCTGATACATAACCCCCAACAAACAGAAACTTGCCGTTATTACTCTGTACCCATAATTTGTTAACCTCTGCCTGCAGTCTTCATGCTTAACTAAGCTAAGCTAACCGGTTGCTAGCTGTAGCTTCATAAATAACAAACAAACATGACAGTAGTATGGGTCTTCTCCTCTAACTCTTGGAAATAAAGCGAAAATGTGTATTTTCTAAAATGTCAAACAATTCCATTACAGTGGTTATTGCTTGCTTTACAGTCAATATGTACATTCAGTGTTAACTCTTATTGGATTGTTATGGCAGTTCTCTCAAAAGTAAAATTTAAGCTGTATTAATAATATTTATACACTTTCTTTACAGTTCTCAGCACCCCCGGTTGTAACGCACCCACTGCAAAAAAGAAGATGAGCAAGTCCCCGACCCCCAAAGGCACCCCGGTGCAGCGCAGCCCCAGCGATGGGGTCCCTGAGGGCCTCCAGTCTCCTCAGCATTCCACGCCAGGCTCCGGACCCCAGCAGAAGAAACGCATCTCCAGCCTCATTCAGAGTCCGGTGAGACGGCTGTTTGTCTGTGAGGGGGCTGCAGTCAGTGCTGGAGTCCATTCTGAGTGCATGACTATGTGTTTCTGCATAGGGAGGCTGCATGACGCTGATGAAGTTGTGTGTGAAGTGGAGAGAGTGAACATGAAGTTAAAGGACTGATGGAGAGAGGCTGACTCATTAAATATGTTTACTCACCCTCGCCCCTGTAGTGTATCAGTGTTTGCTAATCAGTGTATGTGTTCAAAGCCCCCATGATTTTGTATGTGATTATAGCATCTTTCAAATTATTCTTTGTGGAAAATGAATCAATCCGAGGATCGCTAAAGACAACTAGTATGAAACTGAAGTGATTTGTAATGTGTGGTGTATATATACTGTATATTCTATAGATTAATGTCTGTGTTTGTGTATAGTCATTCAGGGAGGAGCTGGATGTGCTGATCCAGGAACAGATGAAGAAGGGTGGCAGCTCATCCAACCTATGGGCACTGAGACAGCTGGCTGATTTCATGGCCTCACACGGCTCTCCAGCCGCACTGTCTGTCTCCCCTTCCAGTAAGTGCACAACACTTTTAACTAAACCTCTAACATTCTGCATATATAGGACTTGAAAGAAGACATTTTTAAGCCTGGTATTCTATGATTTGTCCCTGTGTCTCAGTACTGCCTGAGCAAGGCATTTTCAGCAACACATTTCTATTGTTAGCATGGTTGCTCGCTAGCCCAAATGTTACACTGTTATCACACCATACTTAGCTGAAAGCTAACTAGCAGCGTGCGCACCAACCATGTGTATGTGTATGTGTATGTGTGTGAGTATGTCTGTCTGTGTTGACAGCTCAGCCACTGACTGATCTCAGGAACTCCATTAAACATTTTCAGTTTGTGTGGCTGTGTGTTTGCTTCAATGCAAAGCTGGCTCGCAGCAAATATTTGGCTACCTCTAAAACTGACTTTGCATTGAGTCTGAGCTCACCTGCAGAATAGTCCACGGTTGCCCGGCTGTTGTGTTAACTTTACATCATAGACTGGAGGTCCTATGGTTAGTCTGCTAGCTCAGGTGGTTCAGTGGAACATGCAGAACACCCAGTTTTAACATGAGCTCGATCAAACTCTCATTAGACTGGGCCCTCCTTTTTTAACCTTTGATCCATTATTAGGATGATCTTATAAAAAAGTAAAGATAAGACCCAATCAGCTTCCACCCTACGGCCGTCCTCACAACTGCTGGATTTGCTGGATGACCTGATGATGTTTGATTCTTGCATTTAATTGACGTAGCTGGAACTGGTGTTGTGCATACTTGTTCACTGGCACACCTAAGAGTAAATACGCACTGAATGCTATGGGGTGGAAGGAATAGTGGTGAATCCCTCACAAGGAGCATCATGGGATTGCTGACAGAGAAAATGGGCAGGAAGGGGCTGAAAGTTCAGAAAATTAAATTAACCAAATGGTTGTGTATATATATTGTAAATACATGTAACTTGCAGCCTTTTTTTTTTTGTTCTCCATGATCATCCCGAAGCATCTCCACTTTGTGATCATAACTTATATTATATTGCAGTACCACTGAAAATGCTCCCACATGATCCTCCATAATGACACATTTCTGCTGTAAAAGTGTAGGGAGAGTGTGGATGATGAGCAATTGAAGATATTTCACTTGTCCACAGACAGCTATAAGCATTTATTAGTGCAGTTGTTTTATTAGTGTTAAAGGCTCTGTACACCCACACAGCTGAGTTCAGTTATTCTGATTAGGCAGTGCAGCATAAAAGAGGTCTAGTCAGAGGTTGTCAGAGCTTTGATGAAATCTTGTAGAGGTAAAATTTCATCATAAAGCAGTATAAACTAATATTTAATCAGACTTGCACCAAAACACCTCTTTAAAGGTCCATTGTGTAACATCTCGTAGGATCTATTGTCTGAAATGAAATATAATATTTATAGGTATGTTTTGATTAGTGTATAACCACCTGAATATAGACATTGTTGTGTTTTTGTTAAAACGCCTTCAGTGGGTTCTTGTTGAACTAACATGTTTCTATAGTAACCCAAAATGACAGTTAGTATGTACACAGCCTGATGCTACAAAATCCTACACATTGGACCTTTAAGCCTCATTACAGATGACACAAACATGTACATTCAAAGCAATACACATAATTAATGCCATTGTCCTTATGTGCACCTTTAAGAGAACCAATCAGCTGCTCTCTTACTTACCTTTTGTGCCTGCTGACCATCATCTTCACTGCTCTCTCTGCCTCTACCTGGCTGTCTCTCTTCCTTCCACAGACATGATGATGGTGACGCCCATCAATGACCTGCACGGCTGGGAGCCTGGCAGCATGGTGAAGGGGGAGAGGCTGATGCGCTGCAAGCTGGCCAGTGTCCATCGCCTGTTTGACCTCTTCGGCTGGGCCCAGATCAGCCGCACCTGTCTTACTGTTAGTTCCGCTGTCTTTTCACATTGCATTCCTGACTTTTTATTGTGAGGCAGAACACTAATTTACTGAACAGACTTGTCGTCACATGAGTGAAGTACAGCATGCAGTTTGACTGGCTGTTGGTGGTCAGAACCCACCGTAAACGTACCAGTTTTGGTGGACGTCATGCTCATATGTGGAATGAACTGCTTTACTTCCATCATCTGTGTCTCCTCACTAATGTCCATCTTCTTCCCTGACAGCTGCGTGTTAGTAAAGAACAGGAACACTTCTTGGTGCTTCCAGATGGCCTGGCCTACAGTGAGGCGACTGGATCCAGTCTGGTGAGTGAGACTAATCCCAGTCAAGATATAAAGGTTTATGAGGTACACCAGTACAATCTAATGCAATGCAATTCAATGAAACAGTTTTTTTTTAATTGTCGGACATGTCTAAATTCAATCGTATGTTTTTTAATGTTTTGCCCCTATTTGAATACATGAGGGCAGCTGAATATTAGAAACCACTCTTAGTACAATACAACCCAGTTCAACACCAGCACTAACGCAGTGCTTAAATATATAATTGAAACAACAATATAGAGATCATAAAATTAAACGTCATGTCCAATGGATTGCATTAGATTGTACAGGTGCACCTAATAAAGTGGCCACTGAGTGTATGCTTACTTGGCTGTGTTGGCTGTTTATGCAAAAGTGTATTTAGCCCTCTAATACTACTGGTATGATGCTATTTTCATAATATAATTGATCAATAATTTAAATTAATTTTCTGCATTACAGTATTATGTAGTCTTGCATACAGTCTTGCATCGATTTAATCTATTGACTTTTTTCATTTAAATAAATGCCTGCCACAATTTTCTCCGATAAACAGAGCAAATCTGATATCTAATTAATAAAGATATACAAAAGACAAAAGCAAATCCTCACTTTTAAAAAGCAAGAGCATGAGAATGTTTGACATTGGTCCATGACAGTTGACTTAATTGATTAATCAATTATTAAATTGTTGCTGATTAATTTATTGATTAAACAATTATTCAACTAATAATTTCAGCTGTAGTTATTAGTATTTTCTCCAGTTTTAAAGTTGTCAGTGTTGAAGACGTTTTCTCTCTAACTAGACAGTAGACGGAGACAAGTGAATCCTGGTGATCATCATATAATCTAAAACACACATCAGAGGCAAAAGGGGTTTAGAGAAATTCATTTGCATCAATATAATACTCTTCAAGAATAAGTTTTAATTTCAAGTCTAAGAAAAAATGTTTTTTAAAACTGCTTTTATGATAACTGTTATATATTGTATATATATGTTATAATTTGTTTCATAAGATGATTCATCAAAGTGTCTATCCCATATCCCATGTGGAAGCATATACTAACGCATGCGTATGGTGCTGTGTGGTTTGCAGGTGAAGGTGAACATCCTGGGTGAGGTGGTGGAGAAGGGAAGCACTAACCTGGGTGTGGACACAGAGAAGTTCAGCCTGCACTCGGCCATCTACTCGGCCCGGCCAGATGTTCGCTGCCTGCTTCACCTCCACACGCCGGCCACGGCTGCGGTAAGTCAGCATGGGCCTGTGCCAAGTGTGGCATCGACTCACAGCTCTGTCCTTTCCTGTTTAGAGGAGACACCATTATATTTCTGCTGGTCACATCCAGAAACATTCATACTCTTAAAATAGTCTTAAAATCTGAACTGCACATCTGAGATAATTGGTGATTAACTAAGTTATTTTTATATTATTATATTTTATAATCGCAGCAATTGTGGTGTTTGTATATATATATATATATATATATATATATATCTATCCATGCTGGACAATATATATCATTGTCCAGCATGGATTTGCTTATAAATCATGTTGTGAAGCTTCTTTCATGACCTTTGCCGCCACAACTGACAGCCGAGTGTCTCCAGGTTTCAGCTATGAAGTGTGGCCTCCTGCCACTCTCCCACGAGGCTCTGCTTGTCGGTGATGTGGCTTATTACGACTACAATGGAGTCATGGAGGAGGAGGAGGACAGAGTGGAGCTGCAGAAGAGCCTGGGGCCGACCTGTAAGGTGAGCAGACCATGAGAGTAAAGACAATTCATCTGAAGGCTTGCATATCGTCGCTTCATTCAGCGGTTCCTCCTCCTGTGCCTCACATATGGGTTGCTTCAGGTTTATGAATGGATAACGGGAGACATGACGTTATGTGGTCTTACACCAGACTAATTACTGAAGCTGATGCTGTTGCTCTGAGACTAAACTTGGGAGTTGGTCTTAGCGTGCCTTCTCATTCTGCAGTGACATTTCTCAATAACCTGCAGCTATTATGAAATAGAAATAATGAATGTGGGTTTCTATTCCTGTGTAAATGTTGGTTTCATGATGCGTAGGTTCTGGTGCTGAGGAATCACGGCATTGTGGCTCTTGGGGAGTCTGTGGAGGAGGCCTTCTACACCATCTATCACATCCAGGCTGCCTGCCAGATCCAGGTAGTACACACACACACACACACTGTAGTGACTAACAGCTGACGTACTGGAGACAAAGTGCTGCCACTGTATGTGTTGTGGGTGTGTGAGAGTGGGAGAATGAGTTGGCATGTGTACAAAATGTAGAGGCACCAATTTTACACCTGGGCAGTTGCCCTTCTATTGGTACCCTTTCACTGTAATTCAGCCAGCAGCTCTGCACTGCAGTATAAAACACTACAGGGGTGTCGTGTGCCAAAGAGACACTGCAGTAATCCTACAGGACAAGGTGGCCTGCAGGGAAGCAGATATGTCACTTTAAGGTCATTGATGTGTTATACTCCCCCCTCTCACAGTACATATGTTTAATATGCTTTTTAGCAAGGCACCATGCTGGCTTGAATTGAAATGTGTACGTATGAAGGAGAATTTGGAAAAGCAAAACAGAGCTCAATGACGATTTACTGCATAAGGAAGCGGCAGCTTGTTCTAAATCTTTTGTTGTTGGTTTTCTTTCTTTGCAAGGTGTCGGCTTTGTGCTGTGCCGGTGGTGAACACAACCTGATTCTGCTTGACCGGTCCACCCATAAACCCAACCCAACCGGCACCGTGGGCTGGGCAGGCTCCACCTTTGGACCCCTGCACAAGAGCCGCATCGGGGAGCATGAGTTCGAAGCCCTCATGAGAACTCTGGATAACTTGGTAGGCAACGGTTATACTAAAACAGAAGTGTACAGTGATGACTGAGACATTTTGTTAAAGGGGCACTCGATCAATTTTACACACAAAGTTTAGTTTACTTGTACTGCACTACTATGTCTATGAACACAGCTTTATGATGTCTTCTGTGGCTCATGAGGGCTTGAAGGCTTTGAAAATGACCCTGATCAGGGGCATCAAGGACATGGAGGCATTAACCAGACATGACTTACGAAAGATGCTAGTGAGTCCCATGCTAGGAAGTGTTGGATCCAGTATTTTTGGAACATGACCCATACTAAAGAATATAGGTCAGGGTATCTCAGTCTCAGCTGCTCTGATTTTAAACATTCTTAATGTGTCTTTTGCAACTCTCACAACTTTGTGCCAATACTAATTTGCTAGACTACCCCCTTTTTGAGTTTTTCTGGTATTAAAAGGGTGGCACGTTAAAAGGTTGGACTTACCTTGAGATGTGTGGGAGGTTTGCTCATTCACACAAAACTGAAAGGACAAACTAATGTTAATACCTCATATCAGCTAAAGTCTTTCAACGTAATTTAACCTGAATTTAAGTTGCAGTGTGCAGTATTTTTTTTTGACCACCCTTGCAATCCTACAACCTTCTTTGTTGCTAGTGCTAGAGCTTGCAAGAAAACACAGGAATTTCTCCAGTTTCTACCATCCATCCTACCTCATGAGAATGCAGCATAAGCGCTGTGACAAACTCCATTTCCTGTAGCTGCTTCACAATAACAGCATAAAAGCCTTCCTGTGGTTTGCTGATGGAAAGCTTTTAATGTAAAGCAGCAGCATAAAATGTTCAGTTTGCATCAGCAGTGACTAAACTAATAACTTATCAGCAGCTATAAACCGCCGAAACTTCTGCATCACACTGGAGCAGCTAAAGTACTGAAAGCTAAACATGGTGAGACTGACACAATCACAGACATCAGTTAAATGTTTGAGTTAAATGATAAGATTGATACCACTCTTGACTGGAAGACTGGAAACAGGGGGAAACAGCTAGTCTGACCGAAGGTAAATCCACCTACCAGCACCTCAAAAGCTCCCTAATTATATTTCATATTTGTTTAATTCATACAAAACTAGACAAACTGTAAAAACTGAGGTTGTGGTTTTACAGGGGTCTCTGCTGGTTGCCTGGCAACTACACAGTGACAACATGAAAATCACTACTCTCAGCCAAGATATAGTCCACGGTCATAACCTCATGCAAGAACACAGCTTGTTTTTTGGACTTCAGTTTTTATACAGATTAAATAAACAAGATCGGATGTGTCAATAGGAATTAAAGGTGCTGGTAAAATGAATAAGCTAAAATATTGAATTGTGCATTGACACAGCTGTCTGCAGCTTGTGCACACCCTAAAGCTCCTTTCCACTGTTGTATTTCAGGGCTACCGTACAGGCTATGCCTACCGTTTCCCTGTGCTGCTGGAGCGATCGCGGAATCGGAGGGAGGTGGAGGTGCCCGCAACCGCTACAGTTTTCCACCAGTTTGATGACGACGGAGTCCACCCGGCTCTGAGGCAGCACCCTTTTGCCCAGCGCCAGCAGCAGGAGAGGACTCGATGGCTCAACACCCCCAACACCTACCAAAAAGTCAGCCAGGAGCAAGCCAGCCCAGGACACCGCTCCACTGTGAGGCTCTTGGAATCATTTTGTTTGATTTAGTGCAGTCACACAGTCACACTATAGAAGGGGTTGTCTCAAATAACGCTCCAGACCAGACATGACTGTGATGGTTCCAGCCTCACATTACTCCACTAATTGTGCAGAATATGCTACATTGTGACCGCTGTGACCTAAATGTTGTGTAATGTTTCCCGCTCATAGATGGAGGGATAGGTAGGCTGTCTGGTGATATAAAGGTATATAAAATATAAGCTGGAGAGCACAGGGATCAGAACTAGGAGTGAGATTAAAATGAGCTGTGAGGAGGGAAGGAAGAAAGAAAGCTAAATTTTAAGATGACTGATGTGAGGAGGAGCCAGAGCAATTAACTCACCATCTTTCTGATGATTTGAAAAGGAATTGGGGTTTTTTTGGATGTCAGCCAGAGGTATTTGTGTATCCAAAATCAAGAGTTTTCCCTCTGATTCACATGGAGGTTGATATACACTGTGGAGCGTTTGTTTTTGTTTCTGCGTACCTTGGAGAAAAGATTAAGCGGAGCTGCAGTGATGACTCCTTCTAGAGACAAAAACAATATGAGAGGCTTTCTTACATCAGTGGGAGGAGCTTGGCTCTCCCTTTCGGTTTTCTCTCCTCCTCAGTCCCTCCCACCCTCCTCTCTCTCCTCTTCTCTGCATTGCAGGTGAACGTCCAATGCTCTGTTATGACTACTGTGTTGCAGAGTCTGCCCTCTGGTGGACAAATATCCATATTATCAAAGCTACTTGATAAAGACTGATTTTTTAATGGGAAAAAATACTTTTTTAAGGAAGAAAGTGTCTGTTTCACTAAGTTACACAAACAGGATCTTCTACATTTTGGACATTTTGAGTCTTTTTTTTTTTGGGAGATATGAGGTTTTGATGTTGGCTTTCTTTCCTTTAGTGGTTGAAGGCAGAAGAGGTGACACAGGCTGGCAGCACATCCATCAAGATGGAGAACCCAAACCAGTTTGTGCCTCTTTTCACCAACCCTCAAGAGGTGATTGAGACACGAAACAAGGTAACGTTACCTTGCTTTTGGCCTTTTCTGTCTCCCACAAATCCCATCTTTGCCTTGTGCATGCTGTCCCATGAATCAGAAATGTTGAAATGAATTTAGTTTTTCTCCTCAGATTCGACAGCAGAATCGGCAGGACATGAAGACAGCAGGACCACAGTCTCAAGTCCTCGCCAGTGTTATAACAGTTGACAGTCCTCCGGTAAACTACCGTCTCTCTGCTCGCCAAACATCTGTCTCTTTGCCTTTCCAAGTCCCCCTTTTAAATTAAAAGCTGTAATTTTGTTGTCTCTGCTTGTCTATTAGTCTCCAGTGAGCCCACCTAAAGCCCCACCAGAGCCAGAGCCTCCCAACCCCTTCAACGAGCTGACAGACCAGGAGCTGGAGGAGTACCGCAAGGAGGTGCAGAGGAAACAAGATGGAGGGACCAATGGTATGATTCATTCATATGTGAACTCTATTTATTATATTTTACTATATTCATTTTTTAACACAAAAATTGAGTAGTGACCTATATATATATATATATATATATAGTAGCTCATGCCAGTCAGAGAGCTAATGCCATGATGGAACTCAATTTTTGATTGTTGATTGGCCACTTGCCTTAGTTACGACTTCACGTCCAAACTAGTTAAGTTATGCACAAAGTAATTGTGGTGCAGCCAAGTGGCTGATGTAGTTACATGGTAGTTACTGAGCCTCTAGTGCTTATACTTACACATATCTGGTGCAACCCAGTCCTGGTCTTTAAGCTGAAATATGTCCCCCAAGGTAGCATAAATCAGACACACACACACACAGCCAACCTGGACCTATCTCTGCCCCTTGACAAATGTGGACATGCTCCTCTCATTATCATGTAAGCATGTGGTAAGGGAAAACCATCTAATAACCCTTTACTGTCTTTTACTGGCGCCATTTGTCTATATAGTGTAGTAAATGCAGCTTAATATGCTACCCCTCACTTTCACTATTAATGCATTGTACACTTTTTTTCTGACCTTCTTAAGGTGCTGTGTGTAGCAGTTTAAATGTCATTATAGGCTATCAATTTCAAATTAAACTTATTCCACCATCTATCACTGCATGCAGCACAATGGCACAGAATGTAAAATGCAGTGTGGATGCTGGTAGAGCCTGTTTTAGCTAGTGTTTGGAGTTAAAATGTCGCACACAGCCACCTTAAGCAAACTCAATTTCACTTGTGACCGCTGTATAAACTGTGTTCACACAGTTCACAAATCTAACTTCCTGCACAGCTGAGCCCTCACTGTGTGTCTCTGTGTGTGTGTTTGTGTAAGTAGGGGAGGAGGTGGCAAGTGACAAGGAATCTCCCCCTGCTACCTCCCCCACAAAGGGCCCTCCGCCCAGCCAACCTCCTCTCTCAGGTGAGGCTTGGCAGAGCGCTGACTGTCTGCCCTCCTTACCTTGCACCCTGACCAGCAGCCTGCTCGTGCTTCTGCCTCCTCATGCATCAGATGACTCTCTGACAACCGTGTTACTCCTCCTCATACGCAGTTGAAGCTAGAAGCTTCATTGTTTTTTTTTCTTTTGTTTTCCATGATCACATTATATACATAATATATATATAGACATTATTGACTGGTTGTAGTCAGTACAGTTCCGATCCTGCTGAGCCACCAGTGGTGGATGTTTGAGGTTCGATTTAGCTGCAGTACGGTATCAATCCAGTCTAAATATCAATCAAAGAGATTCATGTGTATCTGACAAAAATCTGCCAGCAATTCAGTATATTAAAAATATTGCAATGGTGGACAAAGTATTCAGACCTTTTACTTCCGTAACAATAACACAATTTAAACATACTCAGTTACAAGTAAAGATCCTCCAAGTAAAAGTATTTATCAGCAATAAGTATCAAAAGTAGTACTTGTTCGAAAAATGTGCATTTCCATCACTCAGGCGGATACAATATGCATGTTGATACCTCGCCAACAATCTGATATATTAAGGAGACGTATGGAGCAACTACCAGTCTGATGGGATGCAAAAGCATATGATGCTGTGAAATTCAATATATATTAATTTTATTTCTTTGTTTCTCATTAAGTAGCTTGAGAGACGTTAAGAGAGGAAGAAATCAATGTTAGTATACAATTATTGGTCACATTTCTAAATAATAAAGGAATAAGACCTCTCATAATAATTCTATATAAATTAATTGTTTTTAGCGATGCAGAGATGTTTGAAACAGTGCATCCTGATTTAATGTCACATTGTATCTGATGCACACATCAGTTCAATTGCAACTTGAACTTTTATGCCGGTCCACTGATGCAAATCGGTGAATCCCACCAACCCTTATACTGGTGCATTAATGTGTACAGTCAGTAGCATTTTACTGTTGGAGTGGGTTGGAGTGGTGCTAATTTGAATTACTGTCTGGTGGTAACAAGTATTTTCTAACATCATAACATTGAATGTAAAATTTAAAAAAAAATGTAACCATTGACTTTTGTTTTCAGATAAATAGTGCAGTAAAAACATTCGCTCTGAAATGTAGTGGTGTAGAAGTACAGTGTAGCATTACATTTTACTCAAAACTATACATAAGTACAGTACTTGAGGAAATGTACTTACTTTCCACCACTGAATTATTGATCAGGGTTTCTGCATCCATCAATACAATACATTCATTTGTGATTCTTACAGGATTAACAAATGAGATATTCAACAACAACATCTCTCTCTAAAGACAGTACCCCGGTGTCTCTGGATAATCCACAGACCTCTCTGTACAATTGCACTGGCGTATGCAATTAATCTGCAATTAGTCTTTCTCATGAAAGACATAGCAGGAAAACATCAGCTTCTAGCGATAATTATGGCTCTGGCTACATGTATCTCTGTCAGCGAGCCAACATTGCCCTAAAATTAAACTGAATGCAGACATTATTTCTGTTGTTACATCTGTGTAAGTCAACTTGGACTTGTTCAAGTCTTCAGTCTTAGCTGTTTTCATTTACATTTACTACATTTCAGCCCTTTTGTAGAGAGATCCATCTGTCACTGTACCTACTGTATCTGTTATACTCTCTCCCTCTGTGTCTGTCTGTAGTCCTCTGTGTCACTCCACACTGATATATAGGGCACACTTCTGGTGCTTTGGTCTTGTCTCACTAGTACAGAGAAACAGTACGACAGTCTACGCCTCATTAAGCAAGCATGTTCATCTACAGTCACATTGCTAGCATGTAGCTTTGCAGCCCCACCCTACTCAGTCCTCTCTGTCTGGTTGCTGAATATTCTAAGTTTCTACTTGTTTCTTTACAATACTCTGAGCAGAAGAGGCAAAGACCGACTCTCCAGCCATACAGAACGGAGGCGAGGAGGAGAAGCAGACGACAGAGGAACTGGAGAAAGGGATGAAGGCTCTCTCCACCAACGACACGTCCTCCACGCCTGCTGCTCCGCCTGCCAAACCACAAGGCGGCACCCCGGAGGGCTCGCCCTCCAAGTCCCCGTCCAAGAAGAAAAAGAAGTTCAAGCCGCCATCGTTCCTGAAAAAGAGCAAGAAGCAGAAGGAAAAGGCGGAGACCTGAGGCGCTCACACACACGAGACCTCGGTGAAATACTACTGTGAAACATTTAAGTGTATGACGGAGTAGCAGATGAGTTAACCACATCAGATCTATTCAAACGCTGTCAGTTAAGATGTCACTCACAGACATGGTGTACTAAATCAACCTTGAATACTTCACTGTAACACTGGTACTCAGATTTGATCTATGTGGTGATTCATCTTAAGCAGGTTAAAAAACACTGATAATTATTTTCACATACTATTTGACCCAGGTCATTTTGACGCACTACTTCTTGTCTCACACACACACACACACACACACACACACACACACACAGTCCCTGTATTACTCATGTCTTATTTTCACCTGCTGTGCTATCGAACCATTACTTATCGTCACTGTATAGGCAGTCAAACATGTTTCTTTCTAAAACTGGGATGTTTCATACCATTTTATTAATCTTTGCAGGGCACGGTGGAAATTTAAGTTACCATGAATTATGCACCCCTTATCCATTTATAGGCACTTACCACATGTATATTGAAATTCTAGTATGTTGCATTTGTTCATCACCATAGGCATCTTGTACTCATGATTTGGTTCTAATCATCAGATAGATGTTGCAGGTATACTATGTGAGCACAGGTGCAGTACATGTAGACATATACTGATAGCTATTGATTGTGCTCTTATGAATGCTGGTTTTGTGTAAAATTATCAGCCTATTGACATTATAACAGCAGGGATGAGCAAGGAAAAAGAAAGCGGGGAAAATTATACTGGCTCGCTACAAAACAGAAGCCGCTATAAATGCCACTATTACCCAAAAAAAGGATAAAGCATAAAGAACTTGTTGCTTGCCGATGCAGTTTGAAGCCCAGTAAAAGAACATACTGAAGGGTACTAAACATTCCACTTTTCTCAATTTCTTTTAAATGTATGTGCGCAAAATACCTCTTAACAGTTGTAATTATTTTCTGTTTTAACCAGTAGCTGTTATCGAAATGCTGATGTGTGATGTTTGCTCATGGTTTTAATTTATTTTATATTAGGATGTATAAGTGAGTATTGCAAGGTTACCATGTATCAGTCATTAAAGATCAAGTTTGATTTAAAAGCAACTGGACATGTAATTTATGTTTTTCCTCCTGTATTTACAGCTCGCCACACTGAAGTCTTGTCACTCTGCAAGGCTACTTTAACATCTGATAAGAGTGCCACAAAAGTATGATTGTGAAAGGCAAATTTATAGTGTTTTTTGCTTGTGTAAATAATTTTCTTATACATATAAATATATATATAATACATTTACTTTTTTGACAAGAAAGAAGACAACTGGGAGCCAACCACGTACTCAGGGCAGTCATTTACACCTACAGAATTTTTCTTTGCATAATTATTATTACTGCAACAAATTTAACAAGGAATACACTGTATTTGTTTAAATACTTTAAAATACTAGTTTCTGTATTTATATAGGGTTTTCAAGTACAAACAATAGTGTGAGTACTATCCATTATTAGCTGGTGCTGGAATATGTGCTCCTCAGCTCCTCTGTGGTTTTCTTCTCACAGCCCAGACCAATGACTCACAGCCCAGCCTGCTGTAGGACGCGCCAGCTGCGCTCTCCTCCGGCCCGGTAGAGGGCGCTCTTCTGCAGGAGGCTCACCGGAAGCTCGCACATCAACAGCAGAAGACAACAGAAGTAGCAAGCAGCCATTAACGTTAGATTGACGAAATACAAACAGCGTGTAACCATTTCTCACCTCAGATGGTTTCCCACTCAGCACTCCACTGAGCTAACGTTACGGGGCTAAGGTTTGAGCTGTTAGGACAATGGGCAGGAGCAGGAGTCGAACTCCTCCCAGAAGAGGTAAGAAACTACAAGTAATTACCTCTGCGTGCGTTACGTTACCTCTGCGTACGGACGGTTAGTTTGCTCTTTTTGCTCTAATAACGCGGTTTTCTTTTACACTGGGAGGAAACCAATATGTATATGATATATAAGAAAATGTTAATAAACCTGTTTTCTTTCCTAAAGACCGACTTCACACTCTAAAATGTGACACTCTGTATAGCATAATGCCGCCTCCCTGCTGGTCCACACATCCTCAATGTAACGTTAGTTATTCTCTTTAGCTCAGTATTAAAACCATTATAGGTAGATAACACGGTTTTAAAAGCAACGCGCTATTCTTGGCTTTGTATCGCAGTAGCTGGAGTAGTCTGAGTGTGTGTGTGTGTGTTTTTACTGTCACTAACTAAAAGTGTCAAATTAGCAGCAGTTACAGCCTGATGATCTTAACCTGTTTGCCCTGCAGTTATACCAAGACTCTATATGTATACATGTAACACTGGGCCAGTGTATGTGTGGTAATCAATAAACCTCCTTCCTGACAGTCACCACACACTTGATAGTTTTCCTATCAGAGAATTTGCTCCTGAGTGTTGAGCATAAATAAGCTGGTTGGTCTGTACCTGATCAAGCATTGATTGTATACCTGACTAAATGAGAGAGGGGTTTGAAGGCACATTGGTTGAGATCAGAGCCATTTCTTTCATGCATAACAACAACTGTATGCTAATGTGTTCTTGCATACTCAGTGGGTCCAGTTTTACCTAAAGTATCTGTCATTTATTCAACAATAATAATGTATGTACCTGAACAATGTATTGGCAGTTTTAGTTTCCTCACCATCCAAATGTTGATGTCTCTCAAATAGCTATAATTAAGTTTCCTGTTTGTTTGAACCTTTAATCTTTGTTAAAATAAACACTCTAGCCTACAGACAACACTAAAACAGACTGGTGCCAATGACCTTTGTTATACATGTGGTATGAACGTCAGGTGATGCGCTTGCTGCAACCAAGCCTAAAGACCATCACTTAAACCATCTGTCTAAAAGTGTGGATGCCTGTATGCACTCTTCAAACTCTAATGTCCTCCCTGCAGAGAGAAGGCGTTCCCGCTCAACTTCACGGGAGCGCGAGCGAAGGCGAAGGGAGAGGGAACGCTCTCGATCCCGAGATCGGGACAGAGAACGACGGAGAAGTCGGTCAAGATCTCCTCACAGGAGGCGTTCAAGGTGAGGAAA